GGTCTTTAAAACAAAATGAATTTAACCAAAATCAATAGTAAAATTTACTGAATATAAACAAAACAAATAACACTGATGAAATCTCATTGATTCCTTATGTTATTTATTTAAAGTGATGTATTACAAAAAAGTAAATATTAAAAAAGGTCAAACAAACTTAATAATATGAGTTTTATACTTATTTTCACAATCTCTCATACCCCTGTACACAAATTTAAAATTACTCATCTCATCTAAATCTTAATCCCTTAATTTTTTGTTAAATCGATCAGGAAGAAAAACTTGAAATTCATTCCATTCTCTATCTTTTAGAACTACTAAATTTTTTATCACCAAAGCCTGTTAATATTGTTTTTAAATAAAGAATTGTATATTCATAATCAATTTCCAACTCGTTTAATTTCTTTGTCGGAGTATTTTGAAATTTTCCAATATTGTTTAGTCTCTTCAATGTCTCCATTTATATCAAAAGCGCTCAGCAACTAAATAAAGAGAAACGAAACACCTTTTTTGCCGAGAAATAAATATAATTTTAAAAAACAAACGTATTCAGCTTAGTTAATAGGCCATCTTCAAGTCGTAAAATGGAACGTAAATGTTCCATGAATAGAACATAAAAATTTTTAAATCAAAAATTTTACAAGAGAAAAAATAACGGAAGAATATATCGAAATATTAACACAAAAATAACATAATTATTCAATGGATTAATTCTGGTCGAAGTTTCTAGTACATTTCTTAACCAAATATTTACATGCCGATAGTAGGCTTTCTGCGTCTCTCGCATTCGGCTTAGCAATTAATTTTTATACTTTTTTATCGTCACAACATAATCTTATGTCAACACTATTTCTTATATTTCCCATTGTCTTACCATACGGAGAGTTGTTCACTAGTTTAAGAAAGTCCTTTTTAAATTCATTAGTTGCTTTTTTACACATTTTTGCATTCAGATCTATGTATTGCTTTAACCAATCTGATTGCTTGAATTTTAATACTTTATGTATCTTTTTGAGTTTCATCCCCATTTTTAAATATTGTTTAAGATTTCTATAATGAAGCACATACTTCTTTTTATCATATAATGTAATTAATAATTTAGATTGTTTTGATCCATCTGGTATTCTATTCTCTGGAGCTAAAGGTAGATCAGAATGATAATCATATAATTCTTTAGGATATTTCAAATCAATATCTAATATATATCCTTTTTCATTGTCATCAGGAATATTCATGAATAAATCAATATTATTTCCTCACACTATTTAAATCCTCCATAAAGTAAATATTGACTCATAGCCCATCCATATAAGTTATTAGCATCTAGATACATCAAATAATTAGATTCCTTGTTTTTTTTCATAATCTTTCATATACAGTAGAGCCTCGATTATCCGACCTAATTGGGGACTGGGGTTGGTCGGATTATTGAAAGGGCGGATAACCGAAAAGTATGAAAAAATCTATTATTAGTGTAGTATATTATTATATCCCATGTAATTGTAATATTAGTATATCGCTGTTAACCTACTTTGCGTTGACTTTTCATCGATGCTAAGCCTAACAAAAATTTTTTAAAATAATAATTATCGCTATTGTATCGCTAAAAATTAGAAAGTTAAGCCTCGTTTAAATACTGGCTCCCTTTCATGGTCGATCCAGTGTTGCCAGCTAAAACACGTAAAAATAATATTAAAGTAGCCAAGACANATGATTCGTTAATTGTTCTACTGAATAGTAGTATGCTAAGCATTTTTTACATATATATAACTTTCCATGATGATTCGTTAATTGTGAACTTATTAACCTAGATAGACTGTTAATCAAACAGTAACGTGACTTTTCTTCATTTTTTAAATATAACAAATTTACATGCTTATCTAGTTTATCTTTTGTTTTTTTAGAGGATATATATCATAGTTCTTTTCTGTTTCTTATTTCTTTTCTGTTTTTAGAGACTGCCCATTAAAAGAAAAAAACATTCACTGGTATATTCAATCTTTTTTCACATTTACTTACATCTTTTAAAGAGATAGGTGATTCGATTCCTTTGAATGCTTCTTTAATTTTTTCAATGTTGTAATTACTAACTCGACCAAAATTATGATTGTTTCTACCTACTGGATTTAAATATGCAGCGATGCAATAAGCAAAACATTCTTGATCTTCATTTTTAATGTTCAATACAGCTTTCTTCTCTTTGGTTTGTTTTGGTAATTTAATGTAGTATGATCCTCTAACTGGAACATATTTATTCATTCTTAGCTCTAAATTATCAATTTCTATTAAAAACCATCCAGATCCTTTTGTTTCAAATTCATCCATCTCTCTTATTAGTTTATCAATCACTTTATCATAAAAAGTATTCAAATCTGTTGTTTTTAAAATAATCTCATTCTCTGTTTTAAAAGAAAAGCTCATGTTCTCATTTTCTCTTTTATACTCAGAAAAATTTTAAATTTATTTTCAAATCCATTTTTTAAGTATTTCTACTATATTTCCAATAACTAGCTCTCTCACATCTTCTAAAAATTCTCTTGGTATGATATAACCTTTTACATTTTTTATCGAATACGTTTTTAATCTTGATTTGAATGCTGTCAATCTCTTGGATAGCTTCACCATTATATAAGGCATTCTTATGTTTTCTCTTTTCAAGATGGAGATTCATATAGGTTGGTTTATAGTAATGATTACAGATATCACATTTTATTTGCTTTTCTTTTTCTTTTCTTGGTTTTGAAAAAATATCCTCATGAAAGTTACTAAATATATTTTTTCTCTTGGTTGTCTTGGATTTATTATTACGAATTTACGAAAAGTTCTTGATTGTAATATTTTCTCCATTTAATAGGAAAAAAGCATTCAATAAATTTTTGCTTTCAAACACACCTTACAAATATAACCATATCAATCTATATCACTTTTGTTTTGGTAAAATTCATCAATAGATTTTTCTCCCTTATATTTACTACACTTCTTGATTTTATTTAATCGCCTTCTATAAATATTTGTTTTCATATGATCTTCTAAGTATGATTTTAAAAATTTTTACCACATCTACATTCTTTTAATTCTGCTTTGTTCTTTCCATAATAACTTTTAAAGTATTCACTTGTACAAGCTTTACACCAATAATAATAACCATCTTTAGAATGATTATCTTTGCTATATTCTTCGAAGGGTTTATTTATTTTACAATGATAACACTGTTTTATTTAATAAGAAAAAAATTTGTTCAATATCTTGCTTCATAAAAAAATTTAATATAAAAAAATATCAGACTTATCAACCCAACTATTAAATGAATCAGGATATTCTAACCACTTAACTAAATATTTAGTTTCTTTCTTTTTAATTATTTTTTCTATCTTATAAACTTTATTCTTTTTATCATATTTCACTAACTCATTTTCACAAAAAGTTCCTTTAATATCTTCATTATTTAAATCTTTGATTCGATAAGTATTGGGATCTGTCTTCAAGACTTCAGATATTATAAATATTTTCTCTGTGAAGGAGGGTAAATAACCTCTCTTAAATGGTTGTTTATATATAGATATTCTAACTGTATCACCTACTTTATATTTTGGTGGATTAAGAATATTTTCAGCTTTAAACAAATTTTCATAAACTTTCGATTAAATATTTTCTACACTTGCTTCTACAGGAGTCATTTTTATTGATCTATGATAAGAGTTATTATAATTTTGAATTAATTTATCTGAAACATCTATTCATTTTTTAGAGTTGTTAGCAGTAAAATATTTCCACATTTTCGTTTTTAGAGTTCTATTAAATCTTTCGCCTACTGAGCATTTTATTTCTATATTTTCTGTAGTAAACCAATGAATATTATTATCTTTGAACAACTGTTTGCGTTACTTTATTGATAAACTCAGTTCCTTTATCCGTTTGTAACTTCTCTGGCTTTCTTTCCTTAAATATTTTAGCAAATGCTTTGGATATTTCTTCACCCTTTTTCTTTTTAATTGGAATAGCCCAAGCGTATTTACTACATACAGTAGACCCCCTATAACGCGAGTTCCTATAACGTAAATTCCTATAACGCGGCAAAAAATTGCGACAATATTCGTATAAAGACGCTAATAGGGACGCGTAAAACGCGGTAAAACGTCATCGCCAACTCGTCGTCGCAGACGAGCAGCCGAACTACTTTCCTTTATCCAGTGCCACGCCACGGAGAGTTTAGGCGGGTAAGTTGAGTTTACTATCATCTGTACAGTATTATATATAAATTAGGTACTGTACATATAATTATATATTAATTATATATAAATTCGAATAATGTTATGATCCATACCAACGTTACCAATCTGAATTATAAAGTTACAATATCTGTATTTCACTTTGGTTACCACATATTAAATTATATCTAGAACAACAAGTTAATTTTAATAGCGTATTTCTAAATCCCTCATCGGATATAGAAATTAATTGGTGTTCTGTTAGATTAATTAAAAGTAACGTTCAAAATTATTCTAACGGTACAATAATTGTAAATACAACCACAGATGAAATCAGAAATATTTTTGTAATTCCACAATATCAAGAAAAGAAAAACAATCAGAATCAAAATAATATGATATTCTATAACTTAGATATTATGAGATGTTGGTTAAGAATTAATAACGATAAATATCCACCAGATTATAATGTTAGTTTTAAATCTGGAGAATTAGATTATTCCAAATATTATTCTGATTTGTTAGCAGCGAAATTAAATACCAATAACACAGAGTCTGGTTGTTTAGTAAGTTATACAAACTATGGGAGACTGTATCCTATAATTTATTTCGATGTTTCAAATTATTCCTTTTATAATAATGTTGATAATTTGAAAGTTGAATTCTTTTGGCAATTGAGAGAAACACCTGCTAAATCATATAGATTTTATTTCATTTTAGTCGAAAAAAGAAAAGGATTTATGAATATGTACAACAGGACTTATGAAACCATTAAAACTTTGAAGTAATTAAATGGCTTGGTTTCTTTTTGGTCATTATTATGATGAAGTAAAAGAAGGTCTTCCTGATCCTCCGGGTAATGGATTCAAATTAACGAATGATGGAAATTATGATATGGAAAATAAGATCTTAAAATATTGCAAACATTTAATAGATAAAAACTATGCTGCAACCAAGAGATATATTGATAATAAATTAAAATTAATCAATGAATTAAATAAAGATTTTCAAACTTTTGCTAAAGAAAATGCTAATTAATTAAAAATATTAGAAGAAGATCACATAACAGATAAAACTAATTCAGAAAAAAATATTAATGATTTAAATTTAAGCGTTGATAATTTCATAACAAAAACGGGAGAAATTCTTCTATCATTAGATAGTAGATATCTGAAAATAAATAATGTGTTTTCAATGCAAAAAATAAAAGAATTGGTAATGTTAATGATCTAATGGAAGACAAAAATGTTGTGAAGAAAACATGTTTAAAGAATAATGCTTTATCCATAAATGATGAGGATGTGTTTGATGGAAGAAATAAAAAAATAATAATAAATGTATAACAACCTACATTTAACTTTGATGCTGCCACTAAATTTTATGTAGATAATCGCACCTTTACTCTTAGTCAAGTTGATACAAAAGACAACAATACACTTTCAAGAACAGAAAATGAATTATATGTACATCCCGCTGTTTTCTTGAAAAATGATTTTTATAATTCTGACAATAAAAGAATAACTAATTTAAAAAATCTAATTAATGACACGGATGCAGTTACAAAATCATATCTCAAAAATTATTTCAAAATTAACCATTCATTGATCTTAAGAGGTTTTCTGAATTTAACAAAAGACATACAATTTTATTTTACCTTAGGCGATCTTCCTATTGATGACAGAGATTTTGCAAAATCATAGAAAATGTCTTAAAAAATATGAAAAAAATGTGTTAAAATCTAATTGTTTCATTAATAAAATTTATTTTACATCTGAAATAGTAATATCTTATTTATCTGTGAGTATATTTATCAATAAAAAATTAGCATTTTCTTTTAAAAAAGAGAGAGAAGAAACATATATAGTCATAAATGAAACTATTCCATTCAATATGAGATATAATTACAGTTAAACAGATAGAAAAAAATCTAACCCATGACCTTGAGAATTTCTCATATAAATATAATTAAAATATTATTTCAATATTTATAAATTATATTGATTAATTTTTTCCAATATAAATGGAGACATCAAAGAGAATAAACAATATTAAAAAATTTCAAAATACTCCAACAAAGAAATTAAACGAGTTGGAAATTGATTATGAATAAACAATTATTTATTTAAAAACAATATTAACACGCTTTGGTGATAAAAACTTAGTAGTTCTAAAAGATAGAGAATAGAATGAATTTCAAGTTTTTCTTCCTGATCGATTTAACTATAAATTAAGGGATTAAGATTTAGATGAGATGAGTAATTTTAAATTTGTGTACAGGGGTATGAGAGATTGTGAAAATAAGTATAAAGCTCATATTATTGAGTTTGTTTGACTTTTTTTATATTTACTTTTTTGTAATACATCACTTTAAATAAATAACATAAGGAATCAATGAGATTTCATCAGTGTTATTTTTTTGTTTATATTCAGTGAATTTTACTATTGATTTTGGTTAAATTCATTTAATATTAAAGACCTTAAATTTTTCAGGCAGAACTCTCATTATTATACTACTTCAGGTAATGATAATTAGAGTCATAAGTATGTTTAAATGTGTTCGTTTAAACGTTTTCGTTTAGTTTTCATAATTTCTAAGATTGATTTACAAAATTGTTTACTTGAATTTACGAACGAAAAGATTATTTCAGTGCATTTGACATTTTTCCGTCTGAGATCGTTTTGTGCTAGCTTACATATTACACACAAATATACAGTATTATAATTTAATGAAAAATCGATAATTGCCTAATTTAAACTGTTTTCTATCCTCTCGTAATTTTTAACAATAAAATTCTATTTTCCACTATTCTTATTTTGCAGATGCAAATGTAGATCGTTATTCTCTCATGACGTTTCGTATCCTAATTGGCTGCTGGATCCTAATCGCATTTGTCTTGACATCGGCATACGTCGGCACATTGCCATCTTTCATGGTTAATCCTGGAACTGAATCCATTCCTCAGACATTTCAAGAATTGATTCAGTCAGTAAAAGCGGGACGATACAACATCACTTTCTTCCAAGAGGGCGATGAATGTCGTTATTTTGATCGATGTTTTTTAAACGTATGTAGCATTTTATTACAAATAGTTATACTTATAAATTTAAAATACAAAATTATTCAAAACTAAATGATGAATGTAAGTTGGGTGTGAATTTAGGTTTAGAATTCGCGAATAAATAAAGAGTAGTAATTGTTTTGTTACATTAATACTGTCGGATGATAGGATCATGTAAGAACACGATTTCCACTTTTTTTGAACTGGTAACAGTGGCTGTTGCAAAAAGAGGGTTGAGGAAGCGACCGTTGGATTTTAAATGAGTGGCCGCTGATTGGTAGGCAGATCATCACACCACCAATGGACCTCCAACAGAGGAGCAAATCGCTGATTGGTTAAGAATCGTAACATATTGCATATACGCGTATTGCCATGGCCAGTAATCGCTGATTGGTCGTTTATCCCGCTTTCGACGGCTATAAATAATAATTTTTCTTAACGCCCATTAACGAGATAAGCCGTAATTTTCTTCGCATTCTTCCAAGTACTGCCCAGGAAGGCGGCGGTCGATCCTCAACGCCCCCTAAATTTGTCTTGGAATATAAAAAGCACTTTCAGATCTCTACAATGCCCACCGATGGGAAATAATTATTTCATTGCGAAGCACTGAATTAAATGATAAAAGTAGTAAAATCTTAAAATAATGAGCCCAGTTTTCTGGAACAAATTTATACAAAAAGCAAATTTTCATAAATAAAACCGCTAAAATATTTTCAATATATCAACCGATCAAATATGCAATTCACTGAAAGGAGGATGGTAAGCCGAGACGAATTCTAGCAATATTAAGTCATGAATGAAAGGCAAGTTGAATATTCTGGTAAAACAGTAAAATTGTAAAAAATACATTGTTAAAACAACGACTTTACTAAAGTACTTTTACGACTTTACTGTTTTACTAGAACCTCAGTTTATTGTTATGTTATTGTATCAACGTTACCGGTTTTAATGGAAAATCTTGTTTGATCGCGTGCTTAGTCTTTCAATTAACGTTCAACGCATCGAATCCACATGTCAAATGTAAGTCCACATTCTTTGTTCATTTCTCTCAATCACGGTCTGTCTATAAAAATTGTTTATCTCCTATTAATTTCGTAGCAAAAAAGCTGATCAGGGACTCCATGTCCGCAATGCATTCTGTAAATAAAATAGTGTCTTTCTAAATGTAATTTGATGTCCTGTGGTGGTGTAATAAGTCTAGAGATAAAGTAAAGTTAATCTTAGCGCTTATAAGCCACACAAAATTATTGTTTTTATTTTATATTTATCAGAGTAACCATTGTAAATATCCCAGCTGATTACACAGTTACAAAACTGTGCAAAATACTGCTTACAGTTAGTTCACACTTCAGATAAATATAATATCTTAAAAATAATTATAATTAAGTATGTTTCTACATAATAATTTGAACATTATTATGTTGCAATAGTAAGTTAGTTTTTCTATATAAATGTTAAATTTTCTGTGTGTACTTTTATTTACATGAATTTTATTTATTTATATATTTCTGTAGTACTTTATCCAAAAAAGTGTAATTAAAAATGATGTGATCGAAATCTTCAATGAAAACGTTCAAAATTGTGGGGAGACGGGTGAGAAACCAATTCCAAAACTACTTAATGGAACTCACGCCCTACTGGCAACAAAAGAAAGAATTGAATTGAGCCTGACCAAATGGGAAAAAGAAAAGGTCTTCGTTTCAGAAGACATACTTTTTACAAAATTCCAGTTCATACAAATCAATTTAGTGAGAGTGAATTATGCTGCCAAAGTCGCAAAAAAGTAAGTATGAAAAATGTGTTTTTAATCACTCACAATTTTTCAGTGGAAAATGCCATTGAACATTGTTAGTTACACTCTGTCTGTGGAATAAATCGACTAGAGAGCTTCCAATCAGCTAACTCCCTTATGATTTTAGCGCTTTAGCTTAATGTATCTGGTAATATACGGTATTAATTTTATTTTCCTTTACTAGATGACAGAACGATTTCAACTGCAAATGGCACTGAACCTGGAGAAAGGTCCTAAATGCGTCATACAGTTCGAAAGTGTGATCAAAACGAGTTTCATAACGTTTACGAGTCTAAATATGTTTTTATAATGCGAATTCCATATAATTAAAAAATTAACCGTAAATTTTGTAGCTTAACACCAGTGATCGCAACTATGTTCGTGTAAACAAATCCTGCGATTCCACTGTGGCAATACCATTCTGAACGAATATACAATGCATAATGAAGAAAAACCTATGAAAATTGTATCAGAGTTAATTCAGTCATACGTAGCATGTCAACGCCTTGTTTACTTACGTAGAAATGTGTACAATGAACTTGATCATGCTGTAAACAACATAGGCTACTCTGAAAGTTTTATAGCAAAAGATTAACTATACATTTTACAATGTTTGATTTTGTCTCTTGAAAAATACACGCTAAATCTCTGGCTATTTCTTATTGAAAGAAACATGTTAATTCATACAATGGTAATTCATGTAATTATAAATAGCAAAAGAGTCTTCCTATATTTCTACTTCAGGTATATCTTATGCAATATTTATATTAACAATACAAATGAACTGCATTGTTCCTCAATACGTGCGAAGGACTGATACCGGAACGTTCCACATATGCCATACTCCTTATACCTTTAATTAACTCTCGTATTGATAATGACATAAATGAAAACTTAAACTTGTATATAAAGGTATATATTATTTAAAACATTATTATATTAAAGTTTCCTTTATCCAAATTTTAAATTTTTGTGTATTAAATTTATTTTCTAAGTGTTCGCTTGCTTAAGTTTCATTCACTATCCAACTATGATTCACCCTGCAATGACATATTTTTTAAAACTATTCTTGTGTAAATACAAACTAAAAAACAGCTTTTATTTTCATACTAAAATAATTTAAGTAACTAAATTACCTAATATACTATATTAGTGATGTAATTTTTTTTAATTTATACATANAAACAATTCTAAACAAGTAAATTAATAGTTTACCAGACAATAAATTGTTGATATAAACATATTGCCTGTTCTTTAAGCTTAATAAAAAGCGTCATAAATAAAAAATAATATATATTTATAGGCCGATTTTGTTACACTATTACATCATGTAATGTTAATAGTTTACCAGACAATAAATTGTTGATATAAACATATTGCCTGTTCTTTAAGCTTAATAAAAAGCGTCATAAAAGTTTAATAATATATATTTATATTTTACAGGGTAAATCTTATTGAACAAAGTGGATTATCTCAGAAAATTTATACAGACGTGCTTGAAGCAAAAAGAAGAAGCAACTTCCACAATTATAAGGCAATTAATACTAATGATGAAGAACCTCTGAAAATCGATGATATTATGGGTCTACTGTATTTATTAGCAACAGGGTACTTGATTTCCTTTGTAGTATTTCTTACAGAAATTCTAGTAAAGAATATAAAAAAGTTAATGTAATATGGTCGCTGTTTATTTAATTTCTATATATAACGTCCCTTTAATCTCAAAAAAGACTTGTTTGGTAACGGTCTCATAGCATTTCTGGTTAGAAAATTACAACTTTATTTCAAAAATTTAAATCATATTATACACCAGATTATATAAATGCATTTCGGGTTGGTGTACGTTTACAACTTTCTTCAGTGCTTTTTGAAAAAAAAAAAAAAAAAAACATTATGATTAGTGACACGACATTACTCAAATATGGAGAAAAATATTTTTACACAACAAACACATACGAAATAAAGACACAAATTAAAATTTTTTCTTACAAGTGAAGTGCTGTATTGTATATTATATCTTATTGTAATTTGGAAATATTAAATTAGCAATTATATTCTTAACACCTGTAACTTAATATTAAACATACCGACAAATGGTGTTATCTATTATAAATCTAATTTATCCAATACAGTACAAAAAGTCATAGACTGTGCTATCATTACAATGTTTAACGTGTTGAAACGCCTCTATTTAATATAAACTTAATTTTTAACTTTTTAAATTCAATTTCTTTATTTTTATTATCTGATATTTTTGTATATATGTTTTTTAAATTTATAATTTAGGAATTCTTTTTTATAATTTCTGGAATATATGAATGACAGTTGATTGTTTTATTGACATTACATGTTTTCTTGTATGTTGTAAGGTAAATTTATCACGCTTATTTATTATAGTTGAATCTAAGTAATTAATTTGTCAATTTTTTCCCTCTTCTATATCAGACTGAATATTCTCGTTGGTATTGTTTATGATATTAATGCTAATTTTTCCATCTATTATTTTATTATTGTATATTAGTAAATAATCATTAGTACATTTCCTTACTAGTTCTATACCGAGGTTATATTTATATTTCCACTTTTATTTTTCATAACTAATTCTACTAATTTTGGTCCCTTCTTTCACCCACACTGATGCTGTCAACCTTTCTATAGATATCTTTTTTAACTTGAAATTAATTATTTTTATATGCAAATTGTTTTAAGTCAATTTTACTTTTATTTACATTACGTTTAGGAGAAATTTTTAGATGGAAATTAATGTTTTATACCATTAAATTTTATGGAATTTTTTGTTTTAAACCACAACGATTTATATTTTTCATATAATATAGTGAATTGTTATGTATTTCGTGGAAAATACAAATGTAGAAATAGAATTTTTAATATGTGTTTGTTGTGTAAAATATTTTTTCTCCATATTTGAGTAATGTCGTGTCCCTAATCATAATTTCGTTTTTTCGAACAGCACTGAAGAGGAGCTGTAAACTTTCATTAACCCAAAATGTATTTATATTATCTGGTGTATAATATGATTTCAATTTGTTAAATACAGTCGTAATTTTCTAAGCAAAAATGCAGCGAGACGGTCTACCAAACAAGCTTTTTTTTTATTAAAGGAACGTTATATATGGATACATAAAAGAGATTACAAAAGAAAACGTAGAGTGAGGCCGTTCAATATTGTTAATTAATATTTAATCATATTTAAAAGTTTAGGTAATGTTGCTAATTTTAGAATTTTTAATTAACTTTATACTTAAAAGTTAATTTTATGTGTAATCTTGAAAAAAAAAGTTTAATGCTCGCTTATTAGAGGTGTCCATTATTCGATATCAACACGTGATTAGTCTCATGTATTTATCGGTCGCTGATTATATGCTTTCGATTTTCGTATTAATCATCATCGAACTTGTGTTTTATTACGGAAAAATCTACTTATCTCGCAGAAAGTTAAAGAACTTTGGAAATTCTTTGCGTTTAAAAATAGGAATATTTCTCAAAAGAAACAAAAATTAGATCTATACTTTATAATATCGATATAATAATCAATATTGTGCATTTCTAAACATTTATAAGTATTTGTAGTGTAAACGTGTATTTAAAAATTATTTATTTCAATAAATTTTTAAACTGTTCGATTAAATTAAAGTTTTAGTACAGTTTTTCTTGTAAGACAACAATGATTCAGTGTATGCTCTTTCCGTTAATACTGTTCATAAAATGCTAATAACTGTTTTTATATTATTGTTCTATATTTTAAATATTACCAAATTGTACTATAGTAGATAGAAGTGGCCCACTAGTGGCCGAGTGAATATTCACTGAACACTGTTAGTTGATCGTGGATTCACATCTCACCAACGGGTTGACCGCGTGAAGTTTTCCGGGTTTTCTTCACGTATATAAAACCTGAATAGGGGTCAGCTTTCCAAGAAAGTCCTCCCGGAAGGCAATTATATCAAAGGCACTTGTAAATAAAAACTCGTACTCTTATGCGTTACTGAATTTTAACGATACTGTGTTTTATTTGTCTTAGAATATCACCGTAGTTGTCATTTCATTGATAACGGTGTATGCGTTAATCAAGTTAACTACTATAATTCTAAATACTAGTTACAAGTTAAATACTATAATTCTAAAATACAGGCTATATATGTAGTACATTTTGTAAAAGCATACTATGTACGTTACTGTTGTTAGTAATGATATACGTGTAATTTATGTTGTAATGTTGCAAAATATGTATTTGCTATGTTAAATAAAATCAAATAATATGCAATGATGACAGTTTTGATAGTTTTATTTGTATACCCTGAAAATGTAGTCCTAAAATGTCTGTATGTTTTCAGAGTTTTGTTTATTAACATCATTTCCACAATAATTATAAATATTATTTTCGTAAAAATTACGCTGTAGTCCGTTTACTTCTAAATTAGTACATGGCTAGAAGAGACACGGTTGCCTTTTTTTTTAATATATCTTTCCGCAGTTTCTAATTTTTCTAACATGACAGGTCGAAAATAGTTTTACAGTAAGAGTTTCGAATACCTATTTACCAGATCAGTTAATTAAATTCTTGTAATCGATTTCCATCTGAATGCTTCATTCCTATCGGTCAGCCATACGCAGGTTGTGGCCGTCCTTTTCAGAACAAAACTAGAACGTCGGACGTCGAGCTACGCCACCTGGCGATTTTAAAACGTTGATAATGGCGTTCGCTACGTCTAGCATGGTAAGTAGGAGATCGGTTTAAACTTTAGTTTTTGGTCTTCGGGGATAAAATTATGACATATTTTATTAAAATAATGATTATTTAATTATTTATGAATAACATTGTAAAGAAACCGACGTTTCAGTGTCTTAATATTAAAAATGTAAAATACCTACGTGGTCATTTTTTCTTCGATCGTCGTGTACAAGCCGGAGAAGTAAAATTTGGGACACAATCGATCTGATTTTTTAAGAACATCATTGCATGCTGAACAAACATATGCTTATTCAATTCAAAATGTACGTTTTTAAATTATTAGAGAGGTTGTGGCCGGCGTTTTTAACCCGAAAACATGTACGTCAGACGTTCAGCGCCGCTTTCCTATAAGCCTAGAAATTTGACAATGATGTTTGGATAGTCAGTAGAATGATGCTCAACATTTCAAACACCATTGCCAAACTTGTCGGTCTTTAGGAAAGCGACGTTGAACGTCCGACGTACACGTTTTCGCGTTGAAAACGTCGGCCGCAACCTCTTTATTATCTGTACGTGTTAAATAAATTACTAAAGAGTTGCCTTCTAAATAAAAGAAACTAGCAAATACAGTCAATAAATAGTACAGTAGACCTCGAAAACTCGGCACTCGATAACCTGGCACTCCGGATAACTCGGCGAAACCTTGGCAGGGCAAAAAAAATCCTTAGTATATTAATTTTCATTATAGACGCTTTATGCCTCATAAAGTATTTTTTTGAGGTCTGTCTTATCAGGTAAATTACTGTACACAGTGTATTCATTAATTTTCATTTTCATGTAGTAAAGGCTCTATGCCTTTCATAAAGGACGTACTTTTCCTTTGTTTAAGGGTATTTGGGCAGTTTATTCTCTGTTGTATTCTCAAGTAAACAATACATACAAGTACAGTACAGTATTTTCTGAGGAAACACTCGTATTTATTTTTTTAACCCCATTCCCGATAACCCGGCATTTTCACAAACTCGGCCACTCTTCAGTTTATATTAGAGCGAGTTTTTCGACGCTCTACTGTACTATATTTTAACTAATTAATATTCAAGCTTAAATACGTTACATATAACAAACCAGAGATAACAGAGACAACATAGTAAATGCTAGTCGGGGGTACATGTCTAAGCAACGTATTTGTCACGTTCGGTGTTTTCATGTATCTAATTCTAAATTAAACATAATTTCATATAAAAAGTTACTTCGAGTGGCACATTTCACAAGTGTTGTATTTTCAGCAAAGAAAACAAATTTGAAAAATAATTCTTATTAAAGATTTATACGAAATATCCTTTACGCTAACGGATAGCTCTAACCTTTTAATGTTGAATAAAAAAGTTATTGAAAGTCTCGAAACTTTCTAACTTCTGTTAGAATGTGACGTTAAAAATTAAATCTAATATAAATAAATAAACAAATTGACGTAATTACCTGTTACAAATCAGTAATGAGTTAAAATTTATGAATATTTTTAATTAAAATTTTAATTGCATATATGTTTTATGTCATATGCAATTAAAGTAACAACGAAGTTCATTAATTGCTGCGTGACGTTATGAAACTTTGTTCTCGAATGTTTACGATAAATATTATTTATAAAATAAATGCCATTTCCATAAAAAAAAAAAAAAGTTATATTAACGTTTTATAAACTTTCAGAGATAACGATAGCATTTTTCGGCCTTTTCGATTACTGGTGAGTATCTTTAGGTGTTTGTAGATGGGCATAGCTCGATCTCGCCGTTACGTCGCCACGGACAAAAAGAAAAATTACTGCTCCTTAAGAATATATATATATATATATATATATATATATTTAAAAATATATTTATATATATATTA